GAGAGAGAGAGAGAGACTCTTGAGAGAGAGAGAGAGAGAGAGAGAGAGAGAGAGAGAGAGAGAGACTCTTGAGAGAGAGAGAGAGAGATCTTCTTCTTCTTCTTCTTCTTCTTCTTCTTCTTCTTCTTCTTCCTCTTCTTCTTCCTGTGCACCCTGCAGCGGCGCGCGCCGCGCGAGCACGCGGGACAGCGGCCCCGCGCTGCCCAGCGGCCGCCGCACGGCCGTCGCCATGGCCACGCGCGTCTTTTTCCAGCGCGCGGCCATTTTAGTGCCCGGCCGCGGCCGGGCACGGCCGAACAGGGCCGATCGAGGCCGAGGCGGCCAGGCAGGGCTGCCCCCCTCCAAGACGCGCTGGTGGGCGGCCGGCCGGGGTGCTAGTGGACCGTGGGCTGACGCGACATCGAGGGAACGCGGCGGCAGGAGCGGCGGGGACGTCAGGGTGCAGCGACATCGAGGGGACGCTACATCGACGGTGCGGCACGGTCAGACGACATCCAAGATCGAGGCCACGACTTGTTGGATCCTGGTGGGGGGGCGATGACGGGGGGTGCAGGGAGTAGCTTTGCGGGGGGGTCTGGAGGTGCCAAGTTCAACCCGCTGTCCGAGAACGAGATGGCGAAGTTGAGGCGAGGGAACATTGTTTGGAACTTTGTCACCGCAGGCCAGTACGTCGGGGACCAGTCCAAGATGCACGGGGACCGAAACTTGCGTTGCAACTTATGCGCCCACCTATTTCAGGGGGGGTCGTCGAAGGCCGCGCGTCATTTCACGCAGTCGAAGTTTTGCAAGGCTGGGGGGATGAGAGTTCTCGCGGAACTCTGGAACGACACACACTACCCATTTGTGTCGTCCACTGCTCAGCGGGTGCAGACGTGGATGGCAGACGAGGGCATAGGGACACGAGAGCGCCCTTGGGTGGCCAGAGACAGCGGATGGACGACGCAGAGAGGGACGACATTCAGGACACCCTCGATGAGGAGGAGGGCCGCGAGGGTGGGGCCAGGGAGGGGGCGGTTGCAGACGAGGCAGACGAGGCAGTCGGAGAGCCTAACCTGCMAGGGGAGGAGGTGGTGATGACGTCGAGAGGYGTYGGTBGAGCGGGTCCTGCTACTAGGGCGCCGCGACCTGAGGTGGAGCGCGCGAGGAGGGAGAAGAGGACAGTGGGGCAGGCTGGCGTCGAGGTGCTTGACACGGGCAGGGAGAAGAGGGCTCGACAGACCACGATTGACGAGATGTACACGAGGGAGAAGTTTGCCGAGTTCACAGACGCGTGGCTTCGGTGGATCTACATGAAGAAGTTGCCATTCAACGCCTTTCGTGGTCTGGAGTTCCAGAAGGTGCGGCAGGCGGCAAAGAGAGTGCCTTGCTCTATCCAGTTCCGGTTTCCCTCCTACAGGGTTACAGCGGGCGCCGATATCCCTTCGCAGAGGGCGAAGGTGGCGACGATGGTGAGCGAGGTGCGCGCCACTTTCCGGCACAGCGGTGCCACTATCCTTTCCGACGGGAGGAAGTCGCGCAGCGGCAAGCCGCTCGTGAACTTCCTCGCCGGGGGCGCCAATGGCGCCCTGCTGTATGCCACCGTCGCACGTGACGAGTCGGTCCGAGACACAGCGGACGTCATGTACCGTAGGTGGCGGGCCATCATCTTGTCCTTTCCTGCAAAGGACGTGATCGGCTTCTGCACAAACTCCGCCAGTAACTATACGGCGGCAGCGCGCAGGTTCGCCACAGACCCTGAGCCTGACATCAGGAGGATCACGTGGCTCCCCTGCTCCACCTATGTCTGCAACTTGATGTTGTCAGATATTGGGACGCGAGTGGTGTGGGTCAAGGAGACCATCATTCGCGCTCAAGCGCTTGTGCGATTTATTAAATCGCACGGCGCTGCTCACACCCTGTTTAGGAAGGTGAGCCCTGGCGTTCAGCTCGTCGAGCCCGTTGAGACATGGTTTGCATCGGTTTTCCTGATGCTGACGTGTCTCAAAGGCCGACGAGACGCGTTGGAGAGCATGTTGCACGGGGATGCTTGGGCACGCATCCCGTGGGATCGCACCCACGTATCTCAGGCGCAGTGGGTGCAGCAGCAGATCCGGGATGGGGAGTTTTGGCAGCGTGTCCAGTACGCCATCCTAGTCATGTCGCCCGTCCACCAGCTGTTGCGCAGGATGGATAGAGGTGGAATGATGATGTCCGTTGTTTACGAGTGGAGTCAGCATCTGCTGCAGTTGATGAGGAGGGTGGACGTGCCGGAGGACATGATCGAGTCGTGCGTGCGTGAGGTTGCCATCCGCAACCTCCACATGCTAGAGCCCGCACATGTCGCGGCCCACCTCCTCAACCCTCGTCGACGGTCCCTCACGTATTACCATTCGCTGGAGACAACCGCCGACGACCGCCGTGTGGTCAAGGAGTGCGACAGGCGCAGACCGGCGGCGATCCGGTCGGCTTATTGTACAGGAGCGTGAGGGACCAGATGAGGGCGTTCCACTCGAGGCGAGGGGATTGGGGAGATCGTGACCTCTCCGATGCCGAGGCGACCGATTGCAGGGGGGACAGCGAGACCGAGCGATGTGCAGCGTGGTGGTTTGAGCATGGACGTGCCCACCCGGAGTTGCGCACCATCGCCATCCGTGTCATGCACTTATGGACGTCTGCCTCTCTAGCGGAGAGGAACTGGGCGGAGCATGAGCGCGTCAGCACGACGAGGCGCTGCAAGCTTGGGTTCGCCAAGCTTGCACAACTGGTTGAGATTGCCACCAATCTCAAACTGGCCTCGTGCGCACGGCATGGTGGTGGCTACGTGTTGCCATGGGTTATGGGGACCGGTCGGGGGGGGACGGCGGCAGAGGAGGAGGATGAGGAGGGAGATGTGGAGCGCGAGGTGTGGGGAGCGCGACCTGATGACAGTGTTCTCGAGCAGGAGATCCAGCGGCAGATTGTCACTTTTCGTGACAGCCGACCGTCCAGAGCCCGTTCGGTTCGGGACGTGTTCGGCAGCAGAGCGACGGAGCTGCGACCGTGGCCGAAGGTTGGGGATGATGTGGACACTGCTGCGACAAACGGCAACATCGACGGCGACTAGACTGACGATGATAACATGCCGCTGAGTCGCGACTCGACAGCTGAGCGAGTGTACTTCACTTACGGTGGGGGTCGTGACGACATAGATTCATTCAGATGAGTTATCATTGGTGATATGCCGTCGACCGCGCAGGCGAGTGGCAGCAGCAGAGCCGGCGGTGGTCGTGGAGGACGTTCGCATGCAGAGGTTCGTGTGGAAGACTCGGGGGAGCAGCAGCCACGGGGAGGCCGAGGATGAGGAGGTGCCCCTTCGCGATTGTCGCTTCTCTCCCTCCCATCATCCGATCTCTGCACAACCCGAGGCACTTAGGCATTCGGAGAGGTTGGCGTCGGCAGCAGGCAGAGACCGGACACATGACGACGAAAATCGTGGGGGGGAGAGGACTCCTTCCGACGCCAGTATCCGCCCCCGCTCGCCGTCGGTGCTCCGCACACAGGACTTCGACGTCGTAGGGCTTGGCGGAAGCTTGGGAGATTTCAGTGTCGAGGGACGTCGACGTGCCTCACCGCAGGAGGTGCGCACAGACGCGGACGTTGAGCGGGGCCCTGTTAAGACTGAGGAGGAGAGGGATGCCCATTTGGATCGAGAGGAGGAGGAGCGGCTGAGGAGTTTGCCACAGTGGGAGGGTCGGTTCGCGTATCTCGACGATCAGCGTCGGCAAAGGGACTTGGAGACAGGAGGGGGGGGGGAGCCGGGATGTCGATGACTCCGGTGCCCATGAGGAGGAGGTTCACGGGGAGTTCGATTATGAGGGGCAGGATGCCGCCGCGGGTGGTGGGTCAGGTGGTGGACGATGCAACGACGAGGAGACCGCGGGTGTCCCTGAGGGCAGGATGTTGTCATGGGTGGTGGGTCCCCTAGTGGGGGCCGTGGCGACAACGAGACCGCAGGTGATGAGGGACAGGGTGCCGCAGTGTGTGGGAGAGGAGAGGGTGGACCCGGTGGGATGGGGATACTGCGGGTGTCGGTGGAGACGATGGACCGGACGACGACGATGACGATGACCACGGTCCCGAGGACGATCCGTATAGGCTCGCCTTGGTGTTGAGGGACCCCACAGTGCCTCCCTTGCACCGTGAGGACACAGCTCACACTTTCTTCGACGTCGACGCTTTGGCGCACGCGTTGACGGATGACCGTTTCGCACACGTGAGCCGCAAGAGCAGCAAGCAGCGGGCCCCTGGGAGCATATATTCAACGCCGCCGTTCACAGTGCAGAGCCCTCACTGGTCGGGTTCGTTGCTCAGCGGCGTGAGAGGGAGGGACTCCGGTGCGGGTGAGGTGGGGTCCGACAGATGCAGCGACGGCGGTAGAGATAGTGGAGGATCGATGCCTCCACCGCCAGCACGGATTCTGGAGGCCAGGGTCGACACCGGGGACGGGACGGCGGCACCCGGAGTTGCGCACAGTGGCGGTTCCCCGCCGACAGTCCGAGGTGGTGTGGGTGGCGGATGGTCAGCTGTTCGTCGGGTCGGGGACCAGTTGTGGGCGGATTACGACGCCCGGAGGGGCGTCTTCACGGGACGTATGGCTGTTCAGACGCAGGCTGCGGAGGGTGGGTCCGGACGTCCGAGCCTGCAGATGGCAGGCCGCATGCTTGGTTTGTCATGAGCTGAGACGAGGAGATCATTGGTCCTCGAGGCCGCAGAGACATCCACGGACAGGCTGCGGGGAGAGCAATTCACATCGGGCGAGGAGGGGTTGTTGATGCGTCCCGGGACGAGATGACAGCATGGCCTCTCGGAGGTTGAGGCTCGACTCACTGAAGGGGTCGCCGCTGGGAAGGCAGCATTGGACGCGATTTAGAGGGAGAGAGAGAGGGGGATTGCTGCACATGCGGAGGAGGACGAGGAGGCAGACACTAAGTCCGAGCCGATCGAGACTGCGGCCCGCAGACACAGCGGCCGCTGTAGCACATGCGGCATACATTAGCGGGGCACGGGGCACAAGTGCCGGTGGGAGAGGAGGGCACCGGGGAGCACTGCATGGCTGCCCGTCCTACGAGAGAGGCCGCGCGCGCTCTGGTGGGAGACGACGACGTCCGTGGTGTTTTTTTTTTTTTCATTAGTTTTTTTTTGTTTTTCGCGTGCATGTACAGCCTGGACGCTCTGTCGGCAGGGTTGTTGCATATTTATGTCGATGTTGTTCCATGGAGACGACAACAGTATGTGGACATTAGGTTTTTTTTTTTTTTTTTTGCTACTCGGTTGTACAGTAGAGACGACGCCCGTCCATGGGTCCAGTTTTTTTTTGCTACTCTGTTGTGTAGCAAAGACGATGGGTCCAGATTTTTTTTGCTACTCGGTTGTACAGTAGAGACTACGGGCCCAGTTTTTGGCTTCAACCTTGTACATACGCATTTCCATTGAAATGCTTTGTCATATATTTGCTCTTGTTCTTGTTCCTCCGCCAACATTGGTCTTGCATCTGAGTCGCTGTTGTTTGGTGATTGTTTTCTGCTCTGTTGTCGTGATTGTTGCAAATGATGTGCTTCTCCGATGCCACGCACCTGCATGTCATGGATGCCTCCATTATGAATGTGCTGTTAATTTCAGATGCGACATAGGGATGATATGCTAATGAATGTGTTCTAACATAAATTATGTGCTAATGAATGTCCATTAGTCTCATGAGTGAACACACACTATGACACACTTGCCTGTTATCATTGTTTGAAACTTGTGGTTCGCCGCACTGTGATTGATTTTCAATGTGTTTTGACATTGGTATGCCAAACAGGATCTGACTTATGATTGCCATGAATGTGTTGTTTTAAAATATGCGACGAACTGTCATCGCCCTCATGAATAAAACCGACACCTACCTTTCTGTGCGTGAGGCCCTCATCCGCGTGGGGTCTGCCATCTGCAGCCCCGTCTAGCTTCGACCCGGTCGGGCCGCACGGCCCGCCCCAACCAGGCCCTCATCCAACCCACGTTGGGCCGCCCCCGCAGGGGTCAAATATATATATATATTTTTTTCCACTGTTCCAGACCCTCCTCCCTGCGGCCCCGCATCGACAAACCTGCACACGGGGGACGCTGGATTTTTCGCGGCCCACCCTTCCAGGGTCTTGTGCAGGACCTCCCCGTTTTTTTTTTTTTTTGACGCCCTACCCCCCCCCCACTACTTGAATTAAAAAATAAATACATATATCCTTAGTATATATGAAAATCAAAACATTCATGCGCACTTCCTAGTGGCCTGGTGCTGGTTTGGTGGGTGGTGAAAAAAAATATGGATCCAAGTGCAACAAGAAGCCCCCGCCTATCCTGCTGTAAAAAAAAAAAAAAAAATCTCGACTATTGTTTAGAAAAAAAATTGTTCATGTGCACTTCTTAGCTGCCACATGTTGGGTTTTGCGTGTGGTGCAGCATGATGTGGAACAAAGCTCGACGTGGGGGGGGGTGTTGGTGGGTGGTGAGTCAAGATCTTGACACAATGTTCATGATTGACTAGCGTCTCTGCTCTTTTACGTGCGGGCATTGCCCGCACCGCGGACGCTAAGCTAGTATAAATGTATATATATATATATATATTTTACCCATTATTTAATTCAGGAAAATTCGAGTAAATTCATGTCCGCGGTGCGACCGAGGCCAGCCGCGGATGCGGACATGAATATGGCCGCCCTCCGAGCTCGACCCCGCGGACGCGTCCGCGGGTGTTTCATAGCGGGTGATACCTGATTGGCCTTGTATTTGGCGAGGTGGAGCGTCACCAACACTCATCGAAGGTGCTCAAGATGATCCTCCAATGAGCGGCTATAGATGAGAATGTCGTCTAAGTAGACCAGCACGAAGCGGTCCAACATTGCACGGAACTCGTTGGTCATTGCCGCTTAAAAGGTCGTCGGGGCGTTGGTGATGCCAAAAGGCATGACCACCCACTCAAAATGCCCGTACCGCAATTTGAACGCAGATTTCTAGCGATTGTTCGATCGGATTGAAATCTGATGGTATTCCAACTTCAAATCCAACTTAGAGAAGTACTTCACGCCGCCCAATCGCTCAAGAAGATCATCGATGTGAGGAAGAGGCTCCACATTCTTGACGGTTTGCGTGTTGAGCTTGCGGTAGTTGATGCACAATCATAGATCTTTGTACTTCTTCTGTACGAAGAGAACTGACACTCCGTATGGAGAGCTACTATGAATCCCCCTCGGCGGCGGCCATCCGCGGCCGAATCCGCGGACGTGGCCGGTCTGCCGACCCTGCGGACGCGTCGGCGCGTCCGTGCGGCTTTGAAGCCACGTGGCGGCCGCAGGGGAGCGACTTTCGGAAATCGGGAGACGCCACGTGGCGGCGCATTCCCGGCCCCACCACCCCACACAAAAAAAAAACCGAAAAAGATCAACTTTTGGTTGGGGGGCTATGGGCGAAATCGAACAAAGTTGGGAAAAAAAAACCGCATTTTTTTTTTTTTCGTTGATTGATTGATTGATTGATTGATTGATTGATTGATTGATTAATTGATTGATTGATAGATTGATTGATTGATTGATTGGTTGATTGATTGGTTGATTGATTGATTGGTTGATTAATTGACTGGTTGA